GTAATGTTCTCCACATTTATTCACACAAATGCTTGTCAAAGCCATGCCCCAATTTTTCTAATACACCCCTTAAAATAAACCCTTTTCAGAATCATTTTTATCCAGGCAATTCTACAATTTTTGGGTGGGGGTGCCATATGGAACTCTTTCCTGTGCAGGTACTTGTTTTTCATGATTTGGAGATAAGGTAAAAATAGCTCATACTTGCAATGTCCTGTGTTTTCCTGACACCGTTGCAAGCTCCGGGTCATCGCAAGTCATCTATTTTTAAATATGTAGAAAAAATAAAATGACAATAATAAAAACTGTGTAAATACTTACTTCTGGCAAAGGGTTTTTTGTCCTGACTTGGAGCCATGGTTGATCCACATACTGGAAACAAATGTCATCTATGTCCTTCACCAATGTTATTTTTGATTTCTCAAAACCAGCATGCCACCAAAATGCATCACATCGAGGAAGATGACTTATCTGTTAGTGATGATAATAAACGACTACTAGATGATTTAAGAAAAAGTTCAATTAAATCCCTGTAATTCTCGAGTCAATATTAACAAACTATTTCACAACAAAACAATTTTGACCAAAAAAGCACACCCTTTTTACATAAAGGTAGTTAAAGCTACCTCCAACAATATATTACATTCCATTTCTACAGTCACATAGATCCACAAAAGAAAAATAGACCTCCCAATAAAACCAGCTCGGCTGCATTATGAGTACCTAAAAATTACCTTTACCTGTTTACAACCAAATGCAAGAAAAAAAGAACAAAATCAAAGACATTAAAGCATCATCTAAGACAGAAATATTTCACTACAAACAAAGAAAAAATAAAATATTTCACTACCTCCATTACAAGTACACAAACAAAGTACAATATTTCACCACCTACATTACAAGTACACAAACAAAGAAAAAGTAAAATATTTCACCACCTGCATTACAAGTACACAAACAAAGAAAAAGTAAAATATTTCACCACCTGCATTACAAGTACACAAACAAAGTAAAAATAAAATATTTCATTACCTCCATTACAAGTGCACAAACAAAGTAAAATATTTCACCACCTCCATTACAAGTGCACAAACAAAGTAAAATATTTCACCACCTCCATTACAAGTGCACAAACAAAGAAAAAGTAAAATATTTCACTACCTCCATTACAAGTGTGCAAACAAAGTAAAAATAAAATATTTCACCACCTCCATTACAAGTGTGCAAACAAAGTAAAAATAAAATATTTCACCACCTCCATTACAAGTACACAAACAATGTAAAATATTTCACCACCTCCATTACAAGTACACAAACAAAGAAAAAGTAAAATATTTCACTAACTCCATTACAAGTACACAAACAAAGTAAAAATAAAATATTTCACCACCTCCATTACAAGTACACAAACAAAGAAAAAGTAAAATATTTCACTATCTCCATTACAAGTACACAAACAAAGTAAAAATAAAATATTTCACCACCTCCATTACAAGTACACAAACAAAGAAAAAGTAAAATATTTCACTATCTCCATTACAAGTACACAAACAAAGTAAAAGTAAAATATTTCACCACCTGCATTACAAGTACACAAACAAAGTAAAATATTTCACCACCTCCATTACAAGTACACAAACAAAGAAAAAGTAAAATATTTCACCACCTCCATTACAAGTACACAAACAAAGAAAAGGAAAATATTTCACCACCTCCATTACAAGTACACAAACAAAGAAAAAGTAAAATATTTCACTACAAACAAAGGAAAAATAAAATATTTCACTACAAACAAAGGAAAAAGTAAAATATTTCACCCACCTCCATTACAAGTACACAAACAAAGAAAAAGTAAATATTTCACCACCTCCATTACAAGTACGCAAACAAAGAAAAAGTAAAATATTTCACCACCTACATTACAAGTACACAAACTTGTGTGTGTGTGTTTGTAATGAATTCTATCCGGCATACACTGTACATTTTCTAATATGATAACGTGACATAAATGTTTTGACTAAATTTAAAGACAACACAAAAAGTAAGTAAAGAGGATCAAAGAGGCATACACTGTACATTTTCTAATATGATAATGTGACATAAATGTTTTGACTAAATTTAAAGACAACACAAAAAGTAAGTAAAGAGGATCAAAGAGGCATAAACTGTACATTTTCTAATATGATAATGTGACATAAATGTTTTGACTAAATTTAAAGACAACACAAAAAGTAAGTAAAGAGGATCATACCATCTTCATCTCAAGTTCAGCCAACTAGAGGGAAAATCCTCACCACTGAACAGGGTACATGTGAGTAGAATGAAATACAGATATGTCACACTCAAATCAAACAGACTGGAACCACTCTAAATGCAGTAACATCCTCGACATAAAGACATTGAGGGGTAGCACAACAGGAAGAACCAATGACCAAATGTACCCAGTGTGACCCACAACACAGGGATGTGCTTCTGAGATGAATTGAGTGAGGGAGCAGAGACACCTCTGAATATGTGTGTGAGGACTATGTTGGTTAATAATGGCTGGAGACGGCTTGAATGGGTAATGAAGAAATATATATATATATATATATATATA